TGCACAGTGACGAACCATTCTTGGTTTCCCAAAGGACATTTCAGTGTAGCATTCTTAAAAGAATCATTATTTTGAATGTTAATATTCTAAAGAACCATTTTCCACTATAAAGAACCATTTGTAGTGGAAACGTTCTATGAATGTTAAAGGTTCATGGAACAATCGACGCAAATAAAGAACCTTTATTTTTAAGTGTATAAGCAATTATTTTAGGGAAAATTCACATAAAATGTTCCTTTTGCCTGTCAGAGCACCGAAACTGTTTTTGTAACAGTCCTAGACTGTTTTGTAAACAAAAAGAAATCTGCCTGTGAACCATGTGTGTTAGCCAATCAGATCACTCAGGGGTGGCTTTCTGCCAATGGAACGATTGTTTGTTCTACCAATGGCAAACGGGGAATTGTTAGTGAAAATGGTCATTAGTTTTACCATTTCTTTTAATGCCAGTTGTGGTGCAAAAACTGCTGAAATTTCTCATTTCTCAGACAGGAAAATCATACAGGTTTCGTATGACATGAGGGTGAGTCTAACAACTCTAATCAGAGCCAAAAGTTGAGATTAATTTTAAAGACTGGAAAGAGATATAAGGCTCCTAGCTGTAAAAATGTGAAGGAAATGAAACTCAGAGATTCAAAAAGAGTTGAAAATCTGATGGAGGCAGACATGACTAAGAGTTGATAGCGTCAAAGGGTGAAAGGTTTGCCTGAGCTGCTTGAATTGAATGAGTCAGGTCTTCTTAACAGGGTGGGAATGGATTGCTTTGTTCTCACAAAGTGTCCAACCCCTTGCTGTTAAGATGCTTGCTGTTGGGGAATAATTACTTGCTTTAACCACAACAACTGTCATAATGCTTGAGGCGCGTGCTCGGGTTCATTACGCGTAACGGACATCAACCGACGGTGAACATTTTGCATGTTACTGCTTTTCCAAGGCATTTCTCTTGCCCTTTAAATTCAGACAACAACGACGGTCTGGGTTTTTGTTTGAGAGCAAACCAAGTGTGAACTAAATACTGGTCAAAGGCCTCACACTTTTCCACATAATAAAGGACCTGATGAGTTCGCCGAGGAAGATAATTGCTTCATTTTCAGCAGAAGTTTCTGTTTAATGCAGAAACTAATTGTTTCTCCACAGTTAATCTGTCATCCTGAGAAGCGTAATCGCACAAGTCATGTCAATATTGAATTCAAATACCAGTTGTCGGCGGAGTCCAGACAAATCTTCTCTGTCAGTCGAGAACAAGTCTCTCTATAATTCGTTTTCAATTAAAATCCCATTCAGGATGATGTTCTGCTTCTCAGTGACGGATACTTGTCCTCTGGCCAACCTCTGAAATGGATAAAATGCCAATTAAGACCTATTGTAAAGGACACCCTATCAATTCCTATTCAAATGACTTCTACAGTGCCACTATACGTGTTAATTCAAACCTCAGAGCATTAGCCACAGAAAATACATGATATGATGAAACTGTACCATTTATTTTTTTGGTTCGAAGGACATCCAGGGGGAAAACATCCACATATATTTGACATATTGCAATATATAAGTCCAAATGCCACTTTTATGGAGTTTTGTTGCCATTTTTGGAGATTGACTACTGTATTTAAACACCATGAAGAGGAACACAGAGTTCTTCCAAGATGCAAATTGGTTGAGGTTCATTTCCATCTGCAAATTTAGCATATCAGCAATTCAACAGAATGAAGACAGGTGGTTTGTGAAGTTCGTTCTCCCTTTGTGGGCTTAAATCTTGTAAAAGTCAATTTCACGCATCTGCTTGAACTCAAGACTTAAATGAGAGCTAAATCCCTAGTCTGTTTTGAGATAAGAAAAATCTTATCGTCTGCCTGCAGAAAATGTCCATGTTTACAATAAGTTAAATGTTAAGTATCATGTGGTCATGAAGATATTAAAGGAATATATTGGTTTAGCAGGCTTCAGGTTCAATAGAAGCTTGTATGGATTGCATGTCAATTCACAGAGAAAAAAAAAGACATCCACCAGAAAACAACAAATACATTGACAATTACCTACTTACGGCTTGAACAATTATCCCACAGACTTCCATTTTCAGTAGAAACCAGTCGAAATTATGTTCTGTGGTAATTGACATTATGCCAAAATGCTATCGATACCGCTTAACTTGTATAGAGCTTCAATTGTATTGAACCCAGAACATACTTTAACCTAATGTGGCGAGTAATGGGTCTTGCCTGAGATTTTGCGTGAAATAAAATCCATTCATTACCGCTAAACTAACAGGTGGTATTTAGTTGATTTTACCAGTCTATCAATGTAGGCCATTTTAATTCTGCCTGTATTTCTTTGCGCTTAGCGTGTTTAGCTACTGCCATCTATTGGAGACACTATAAAACAACTAGACGAGCCACACTAACATCATGAGATCTACAACACACACAAAAAATAAAATAAATAAATATATATATATATTTTTTTTTTTTCTTTCTCTCACATATACTAGTTACAAGTTTAGACACTTAATTTAAATGTTTAGCATTATCCTAAAGGAATAGTTCACCCAAAAATGAAAATGGGCTCAAATTTATTCACCCTCAGGCCATCCAAGATGCAGATGAGTTTCTTCATAGAAACATATTTTGAGAAAGAACGAAATCCATTATTAAGGTGCTTCAACTTTAAACCATCAGATGAAATTACCTTTTCACTGGAGAAAGCAATATTATGGACTATGGACTCATATTTTAGCCAGAGGCAATGGTTTCAAGTTAAAACCCATTGATAATGGAGCTTGCTTATTATAAACACACAGCTTTTCACAAGACGTGAATTGATAGAGTGGTGTGGATTATTGTGATGTTTTTATCAGCTGTTTGGACTCTCATTCTGACGGCACCCATTCACTGCAGAGGATCCATTGGTGATGGAATGCTAGATTACTCCAAATCTGATGAAGAAACAAACTCATCTACATCTTGAATGGCCTGAGGCTGAGGGTGAGAACATTTTCAGTAAGTTTTCATTTTGAGTGAACTATCCTTTTAAAAACACTTTGATCTAACAGCTTATGCTTGCATACATTTTTAGTGGATTGAGTAGCCTATCCCAATTTGTGACTGAGGGTCTGTCGTCAAAATGGATTAAATGTGGGTGTTAAAATAATGAATCTGAGTAATGCGTATTGACTATTTTATGTGGAAATAATTAAAATCACACTAGCAGGCGACAATTTGTTGATTTATCAATATGTCAGTGTAGGCGTCAGCTGTTTAGATGTTTATCTGCTGCCATCTATTGGAGACACAAGCAAATGAACCGTGCAAATCTTGGTAAGAAGCCTAACTTAAAGGCACAATATGTAATTTTTGCCACTGGAGGGCGCGTATTCAAAATAAACAAATAGACAAAGGCATAGTTTATGACGCCGTGACTGAGTGTGGAATCATGGGAGTTGTTGTCTTCATCCCCACAGCCGATGCAATCCGATGGGACTCAGGCAGAAATCATGTTCATGGATGAGCTAATGTATAGTTAAAATGGCTTATTTCTCTGGATTTAAACATTCTTCGAAACATTTGGGATAATGTAAGTACACAAGTCAGCAATATATATAACACTGTTCTAGTGGTTTTTGGATATTTTAATAACAAAATCTTACATATTGTGCCTTTAAGTTGAAGTGTTGTGAAAAAGTTAGAATAATGATGACACATTGAATTCATATAAAATCCGGCACGCTTTTAAAACATTATGTCTAAACGTAGGCTAGTTTAACGTTTATGGCTCGCACTGCAGATAATAAAATGACTCAACGTGACACATAACGACGTTGATTCGCTTAAGATGGCTAACTTACGAATATTAGGCATCGGTTTCTGCACAAGCAAGATCTTTTTGTCCTACATTGTGGGGATGGAGTCGAGGAGCTCCATTTGCAGGCTAATGTTGCATAGACGATGGTCTCTGTGATGTACGCGAGATGCCAGCAGAGACAGATGGAGGCTCCTCTTGGACGCCGACCATTGATTTCCAATGATTAGCATTAGGAAGCAGCGCTGCTCTTGATTACTGCCTGGCAACCATGAACATGTCCGCTGAGTTTTAATTAACACAAAGTGAGACGCATTTCATTACCATTTGAAAATAGACGTCAAAAGATAGTGAAGTCCGGCAAGTAGATCATTGTTTCAGACAAGAATATCTAATAACGTGCTGAAAATATGTCAATAACTCTTTAGAATGAAGGCTACACAGTACATCAATGCAATTACATACTAAGATGAATTAGTATTATTTACAAACGACAGAGTCTAAGATAACATCTGCATGCATGGAAGATTATTTTATTGCATGTAAGAACTCAAGTGCATAAAGCAATCTTACTAATTTACATATCAACTGATAAGATGCAGGCTCTCCATAACTTTTGACCAATGAATTTTAAATTGTTTGTGCATATTAATACTGTGCTGGAAGGCTCAAAAAAGCATAGTATACGATAGATAGATAGATAGATAGATAGATAGACAGACAGACAGATAGACAGACAGATTAGATACAGACAGACAGATAGACACAGACAGATAGATAGATAGAGACAGACAGATAGATAGATAGATAGATAGATAGACAGACAGACAGACAGACAGATACAGACAGACAGACAGATAGATAGAGACAGACAGACAGACAGATAGAGACAGACAGAGAGATAGATAGACAGACAGACATACATATAGACAGACAGATAGAGACAGACAGACATACATATAGATAGACAGACAGACAGACAGACAGACAGAGACAGATAGATAGATAGATAGATAGATAGATAGACAGATAGACATTTCATGTAAAATAAGTTAAAATATTCTGGAACCTTAAAATAAACATTAAATAGAATAAAATAGCAATAAAACACACTGTATATAAACAGTAATTCTAATATTAAATATTAAGTCACTACCTTAAGAAATTAAATTATAAACTGAATAAACAGTCAATGATCTTGAAATATGGTTCAATTTTCAGCTTTCCCGTCATGTGTGCGATAGCAATTTGACATCATAAGAGCCTTCCACCTGCAAATGGAATAAACATGTTAATTCAGTTCAAAAGAAGGATAATGATATCGGTTGATAGAAGTGCGACTCACGTCGAAACGTCCGATGGAAGCTGCGGTTTGGCTCGCCTGCATTATCTCAGTGAGTGCCCACATCTGCTGAATGCTGGAGGAAACCGTCTCTGGATCAGGAAGTCCCTGGCGAACCAACACAAAACACACACACACACACACACATGCAGCATTGCTCTGTTTATTAAAGGTATAGTGCACTCAGAAATCATCATCTTTGCTCACCCTGACGTTTTTAACCTTTAGCATTTTGCTTATACATAGAACACCAGCCAGCAGAGTGTGTGTAAAATAAAACACAACAAAATTAAACAAAAAAATACAATGGGAAGAATCGTTGTATTTGTGAAGTTGCAGATTCATTTATGACCAGCAAGTGGCAGTAAAGTACTGTCATAGAGAGGAGGAGAATTATTTTTGCAAGAATCAATCATTTTTAAATATTTCTTCTAAAGCACATATTATATTCAACCCATTTTCTAAAACCATTTTTTTGTTGTTGTTCCTGCTGCATATGATGTTTCTGAGTATTTGTCTTTTATTAGGGTTTCTGCAGGTCTTAAAAAGTCTTAATTCATGCTTCCACAAATTAAGGCCTCAAAAGGTCTTAAATCAGAACTGAAAGTCTTAAATTCATAAAGTCATGACATTAAATGTTGCATGCATTGCAAAAAAGTGAACATCTTCCTCAGTATATTTGTTTTCCAAAACAAATATCTAAACATCCTTAAATAATAATACATTAACTTGAGATGCAAATTGAACATATGAAGTATTGTTTTCTAATATATATATATATATATATATATATATATATATATATTTTATGCTTGAAACAAGAACAAATGTCTGACATGGGGTAATAAAACTTTATTTCCCTTTGAATAAAGTTGAATTTTCTGAGCCCGTTGGCCCGTATCTTGTATTAATCGTGAACTCAATTCATTTTGATCAACATGTATCTTCATTTAAGAATCTTTAGACATTTGTACCAGAAAACAAGAAAAAATACAGAGGATCATTTTTCTTTTTTTCTTTTTTTTTTTGCAGTGTGATCAGAAGGTTCAGAAAATTTCATTTCCAGTGTTGGGGAAACTTTTTAAAAGTAATGCATTACAATATTTCATTGTAAATTGAAAAATAATGCTTTACTAGTTACTTGGAAAAAGTAATCTGATTACATAACTCTTGCTACTTGTAATGCGTTACCCCAACAATGGTTATTTCCATATTCTAGTGGTGCAGAGCTATTCAAACCAAAAGCTGAATGAAAAAGTAAGGGAGATCTGAGATCTGTTACAAGTTGTATTTCCAAACTTGGAAACGGTTGCCAATAAAAGACATGTAGATTTAGAGACCATATTGTCGTGTTATTCCATTTATTCCTTGAATTTTCTTTACTTGGTCTTAAATAGGTCTTAAAAAGTCTTAAACTAACCTTCATAAAACCTGCAGAAACTCTGATAATACAATATAATAATAACAACATTTAAGAAGTTATTAACGAAAACTTATTCACACAGTTCCTAAAACTCCAAGTTCATAAGTGCCTTATAAAGTTACCACTGAACATGTTTTTCCTCCAAAGAAATACTGCAGGTAAACAACAATTTATGAATTACGATTACTTCCTCTGCTTTTCAGGTGGTGAAACGGTTTAAATAAACATTAAGTTGAGCATCCATCAATAAACTTAAGAGACACTTTCAAACCATCAAACAAGCGTCTTACATTTCTAATGCAAATGACAGCTAAATGAGAACTGGGACATGGCCACAATGCTGAGTGATTGAAAAAACGACAACTTGCGAGTTTCATACATTTCCGTAATTATCTCTTCTGAAGCCACGGCGTTAATTAACACCTCACAGCTGCATAAATACATAGAAACTACAGAGACGCTTGTGTGTTGCTAAATGAAATGGCATTAACAGTTTTTCAAGGGAGCATTGTATATGCTGTTAAACAACAAGTTTTTCAATATTCATTAGATGACAACTGTTGCACATTATACAACAAAATTACACAGTAAGAGCCAAAATACTCACATTCAAATCAAGAGGTTCCTCTACAGGTGTGAGAGTGGATATCCAGGCAGGAACGTCTCGCTCCGAGTCCTTCTCAGACAAACACAACACATCAAGGTTTTAGTCAAATACTGATTAAAACAAAACGAAAAACAAAAAACGATCTAACAAAATGCAAAAAAAAAAAAATAATAATAATAATAAAGAATTGGCAAACAAATTGCAGGACAAAATAAAAGTGCATAAATTAACTTCAAACAAACACAGAAAAGCAAAGAGAACAAAAAGCAAAACAATCTTCTTTGAGTGTTGGATAAATAATAACAAAGAATTGGCAAACAAATTTCAGAACAAAATAAAAGTGCATAAAATTAACTTCAAACAAACACAGAAAAGCAAAGTAAGTGTTGGAGTGTTGGAAAGACAAAACTAACATCCACTGATCAACTCTGTAGGTTTAAACAAAACAAAAACCAAGCAAACAAAATGCAAAACAACAACAACAAAAAACTATAACAAAAACACAGAAAACCAACCAAACAAACAACATAAAACATAAAAAGAAAAGAAAAATAACATCCACTGATTAATTCTGTTTTGGTACTTCTTCAAACTAAACAAATCAAAACAAAACTCAAGCAAACAAAATGCAGAACAAAATTTAAAAAAATTAAAAAAAGAACAGAAAAGCAAAACAACAATAAAAAAAAACAAAGCAAAATAAAACTGAGTCCTGGAAAGACAAAAATAGCATCCAAACAAATTTAAACAAAACAAACTTCTAAAAAAAGTAAAACAAATCAATCAAACAAACAAACAAAAAAAAAATTAAGAAACACAGAAAAACAATAAATAAATAACAAACACGCACGCGCAAACACACAAATACACAAAAGCAAAAGAGACTCTCTCTTACCCCTGGAAAGACAAAAATAATATCCACTGATCAACTCTGTAGGTTTTGATAAAATATTACTGCAAACTAAACGTAACAAAAACCAAGCAAACAAATTCCAGAACAAAATAAAAGAAGACAAACAGAAAATGTTTGGTTTGAAACTACAGATGAAAATGTACCACCCTGGATAAATGTGTAACATTTTGCATTGATTGTATGCATTAATAATGTGCATTCTCCCTCATTAAATAAATAAATGAATCAAATAAATAAAAAAGCAAACAAAAACAAACTAAAAACAAAACCAGTCAGGAACATCGTGCAATAGAAACACTGATCAAACTCATAAAAGCTATTCTATCTATCTATCTATCTATCTATCTATCTATCTGTCTGTCTGTCTGTCTGTCTATTATCTATCTATCTGTCCATCTGTCTGTCTATTATCTATCTATCTATCTATCTATCTGTCTGTCTGTCTGTCTGTCTGTCTATTATCTATCTATCTATCTATCTATCTATCTATCTATCTATCTATCTATCTATCTATCTATCTATCTATCTATCTATCTATCTATCTATCTATCTATCTATCTATCTATCTATCTATCTATCTATCTATCTATCTATCTATCTATCTATCTATCTATCTATCTATCTATCTATCTATCTATCTATCTATCTATCTATCTATCTATCTATCTATCTATCTATCTATCTATCTATCTATCTATCTATCTATCTATCTGTCTGTCTGTCTGTCTATTATCTATCTATCTATATATCTGTCTGTCTGTCTGTCTGTCGATCTGTATATCATCTATCTATCTGTCTGTCTAGCTATCATCTATCTATCTGGTTTAACATACAATCCAATTGCAGGCATAATTTTGCATTTCCTTTTATATGGTGACACAAACGACAATATCTTGTACATGCAAACCTCTTTTGCACACAGGTAAATGTTAATTTCCTCAATGCTGAAATTGAGCCATTCGGAGGAGGGCTGTCGCAAGATGAGTCTCACTGTCGTCACGTTATCAGGCTCCGTCAACATCTGAAAACCCCAAAACAGAGAAGAAAAGACCTCAGCAAGAAGTGACACACATTTGGTTGAATGTGGGGCCTTTCATGCAGCTATCAAAGAAACAAAAGAGGTCAAATTAAGAACGAACGTCAGAATTTAACAGAGACACTAAGGACGTGTGTTTCCAAGCCTTAATTAACTAGACAGAATAAAACCCTGACAAAAGAGACACTGATTTCACAAGTTTCTTGTAGTAATCTGCAAAACAGAACTGCTCCAAACACTTGACGTTTGTGTTAGAGCTAAACAACATCAAAGTTTCCTTCTACTTCAGCTGACAGCCTGATACTTGAGGGACTGTTTCTGTACATTTATTGCTTGGAGCTTGTTCATGTCAGATTGTTTCTCTGGAAAGATCTTCTGGAAGCACACACTGTGTTCTTTCATCTCTAATGATTATGCTTACTGTATTATAATATGAGCACAAATATATTAGATATAAAAAGTTATTATACTCTATCGTTCAAAAGTTTCTTAATGACGCCTCTTTTTAAAAGTCTCACCAAAGCTGCATTTACTTGATAAAAAATATAGTAAAAACTAGTGCTGTCAAACGATTAATCGCATCCAAAATAAAAGTTTTTGTTTACATAATATATGAGTGTGTAGTGTGTTTATTTATTGTGCATATATAAATACACACATGTATATACATTTATATATTTATATTATTGTATTTTATATTATATATAAATATATTTAATATATAAACATAACATCGATAAAAAGGTGAAAGTGAAAGCTGAATTTTCAGCATCATTACTCCGGTCTTCAGTAGCTGTTTCCATCAACCTATTTTTTTGCGCATTTTGGAATATCGCATAAAAAACACTGGTTGGAAACGCAAGAAAATTCTAAAAATTCTAAAAATGTGCATAAAAAAACTTATGCGCACATTTGAGTACTATAATTACTGTCTTACACGACTGCGTTCCCAAACAGCAGGGACCCGCCTCCGAAAGCATTGATAGCATTTATTGTGTTACGTCTGCTCGCTCTGAGGCGCAAGTAATTTATTATATATGAAAATTATTATATTCAGTGGCTTCTCCTAGTAGCTACTGTCACATGATCCTTCAGAAATCACTCTAATATGCAAATCAACAAGAGACATTTATGATTATTGTAAATGTTGAAAACAGTTGTGCTGCCGAATATTTTTGTGATACATTAAGGGTACTTTCACACTTGGTTCGCTTGCCTGGTCCGAACCCGAGTTCGATTGGTCCCCCCTCCCCCCTGCCCCCGCTGGACTGTGTTCACATTATATTATTTGGGTCAGAACCGCGGTTCGTTTGCTTAGTAACGACGGCGCAGGAGAAGGCGGCAGATGCATAACATTGCTCTCTGCACTTTTATATATTTACGTTTTTGAGCCATTCGTTTTGTTTACAAAGCTTCGGTACATAACGGCACTTACGTCTGTCTTACGAATGTACTGCAAATGCTCTAAAGAACACTGAAGGAGAACAGAATGAGATATACAGCTCTCTGTTTGCAGCGTGTCAGTCATGCTCGTCAGGAAACACACAAACACATTTTTATCAAATAATACGTCATTAATAGCGGTTCACTTCCGCGATTTGGTACGATTGCGTTCACATCAGCAGCGAACCGTACCGGAGTTCACTTGAACCGTACCCCAGACCACCCTTTTTAAGCGGACTCGGGTACGGTTCGCGGGTGCGCACCCGAGTTCGGAAGACCGCGTTCACATCATCCAAACGTACCGAACTCTGACATCAATCGAACCAAAAGTGCTTGTGTGAAAGCACCCTACGTTTCAGGATTCTTCGATGAATAGAAATAAAAAAAAAAAATAGCATGCATTTAAATAAGTATTTTTTTGTAACATTATACATTATACAACTGTGACTTTTGTTCAATTTAATTGATCTTTGCTATACAGAAGTATACATTTCTTTAAACTTTAAAAACGAGATGGATGATATAGATAAATAAATTAAATGTAAGAAAGAAAGAAAGAAAGAAAGAAAGAAGTGAAATAAGTTACCCCACCCCACCCCAGAGTAGCATTATTTTGAGCAAACAGCCAATGTTTCCAAGTAGATTGAAAATGTTTAGGCTGAGGCTGGCATGACCTTCACCGACCAACAGGATCTCAAAGAACAGCTACAAGAATATGTCAAAAACAGTGACGCAGCAAAAATGTGTCACTTTTTCACACTGGGAAGTTACTGATGCAGAGGAGTCACAGCGCCTGCCAAGACTGCCGAGTTATCTGCTTGTTTTCTCTGAGATTTTAAGAGATTTTGAAGGCCATCTCCAGAGAAACCATGCAAATGCCACACACTATGACTGAGAGCATGTACTGTAACTCTTTAAATCATTTGTGCTAGTTAAAAAAAAAATGAAAATCTGGCATCATTTACTCACCCTAATGTCATTCTAAACCCACACACTTTTGTATGATTTATATTTATGTGTATTTATATCGGTGTAATTGAAGTATTATTTATATACTGCTTTTTTAATATTTCGATTTTTGTTTTCATTTTCAGTTTTTAGTTTGAGTTTTATGTGACATATATATATATATATATATATATATATATATCTGTTGCTAAAGATATGTTACTTTGTACAATTCACATATTACATTCATGCAAAGATGACAGAAAATGTAATCATAATTGTTGTCCTCCGGCAAAACACGAGGAAGCATCATTGAATGGTGAGATATTTCGATAATAAAATGATCATGCTAAAATAATAGTGTGAGAATATTATTATATCTGGTCTCTGTATCATCTCACTGAGATGATATAG